TTTTTTGTACTTGTTCCCAAAAGTATCGAATGACTGCATCTCTGGCTTTCATCCTTTGCTGAATCGGAAACTCCATTGAAATCCTCCATCAAAGGGATTATCCAAAGTTCATTTGCTTGTTTCTTGAATTTTTCGACAATGACTTCCAATTCAGCTATCATTTTGCCATCTTGTTTTTGTCGTCTTTGAATGAACTCTCGAGGTTAGTAACCTTTTTTCTCGTCTTGCCCCTGCCACCTTTGTCAACCCATTTTTGAAAAGTTAACTTTTGATGTATTTGATTGTGGGCGTCATATCTTCTTGATCGAATGTGACACATAGTTGTCTTGCAGATTGTCCTCATTTTCTTTCTGAGTCTTTTCTGACCATAGTCGGACCCCTGCGTTTTTCACCTCTTGTATTACAACCCCTTTGTCCATTAATGCGAATTATTTATGTTTTAACAAACACGTTTTTGGTGGATCAATACCTCTTTTAAATGATACAAATGATGAAAACAAAATAAAAGATAACAAAAATGAAAAAGGTTAGTGAGGTGAAAAAAACAATCATGAAAATAAAAGTCCTACCACACATGATATCTACCCCACATGCTTATTATTCCTACCCGAACATGATCTCTATCCCGCAAGTTAATTTTGAACAAGTCCTAACCGCATAAATTTCTAGTTCACTTGCTTTGAACAGAAAGTAAAGCAGAAAATAATTCTGGCATCTTAGGGTTTGAAATGAGGTTTTGGGGTGGGCTCTAACTCCTTCAAAGTCTCCCAGTTTAGTTCTAAAAAATGGTATCCGAGTTCTCTTTGCTGGTGCCCCATTGGGCTTACCAGACCCTTAGTCCTAAACCCATCACAGGCTTGTGTGGACTAAGTTAAACTCGAGAGGAAACATTCCCTTATGCCCATACGGAGAATAAATTCACACAAAGACATAAGGTATATGAATCCCGAAGGCTACTTGCTAGGCCCACACGGTGAATAAATTCACACGAAGGCGTCGCTTTCACCCCCACTTAAATAGGGTTCGGAGCTCGGGTATAAAGCCTTAGACGAAAAATCTTTAAGGGCTGAAATCATTAGAAAACGGTTAGTATAACTATTTACTTGAAAAAAAATAATCAAAGATAAATAATTGGAATCGAATAAATAAATTAAAATTTAAACTTGTAATTTTCGCTAAAAAAAGACAACCGAAAATTAATTTCGGCCTGACTCACTTACCTGTCCCCAACGGAGTCGCCAAGCTGTCGTAACCGTCTTTCGGTTGGGCCCCAGAATTGGGCTTCGACTTGAAAAATGTGTATTGGAGTCGCCACCGACCATTTTAAAACGAATTTAGGTGGGTCGGACACCATCTTACCTGATCTGCGTTTTTACCAGAAATGTGTCAGGTTCGGGAGTCGGTTACGGTCAAGGAAGGATTAGCACCCTTGAACCGCCCTTTCGGTACCAATTAATTTGCTGGTTGTCTTAGTTGCGAAAATTCAAAATTAAAATTAAAATTTAACAAACCCGATTCAAATTACTTACAATTAATTGATTTGAATACCCTTAAAAGATAAAAACGTTTGACTCGTAGCAGAGTATAAAATCGAATTAAGATAACAAGTGTGCAAACGTGAGAATAATAAATAAAACAAGAAAAAATGGAAAATAACAAAACACGTAAAAAATAAAAAATAAACAAAATGAATAAAATGTTAAAAAATAAAGACACAGATAAAGGGAAAATATTAATGGAGTAAAAAAATAAAAAAGGTAAAAGAAATTAAAAGGGAATAAAAATATGTGTACATATAAAGTAGTATTTACTAAAATAAATAAAAATAATAAATATATAATACTAAGTAAAACAAATAAAAAATAAAGATATACATAATATTAAAAAAATAATAGAAAAAATAAAATAAAGTAAAAATATAATATATATAAATAAATAAAACAAAAATAGAATATTAAGAAAATATATATAAAAACGTATAAAATATAATATTAAGAAAATATATATAAATAGTAAATGGAGAAAATTAATACATCTATATATATATAATGATATATATATAATAAAAATAATATAATATAAATAAAAAAGGAATATAGTAAATAAATAAATAAATATAATTAAAAATATATATATAGGGGACAAAATTAATATAAAAGTAAAATTAAAGGGTAAATTTTAAGGTAAATTAAAGATTAAGATTGACTTAGGGGGAATATTAAATACTTTAAAAAAATGAGTATGCCTCGTGAATATCTAGGTTCGAAACTTCGAAACCCTACCCCTTTTTGGTCATCGGCGCAACCCACGCTTTGGGTTATTCAAACCAAATCTCAAGAAAAATAACATGCACATGCGAGAAATGAACGAATCAATGTAAAAAAAGATGCTACTTTTATTTCCTTTTCGAATCGTTTACAATAGTTTTGTCTTTGTATTTTTTGTGCTTTCCTCTGTATCTTGTATATAAATCGTGTCTTACAAATGGGGAGGATTACATGTATTTATAGTGAAAAAAACTAACTATTTTTAGAATCCTATTAGCAATAGAATCTTAATGCAACTAGACTCTTTGCTCGGTTATTGCACGTTTGTTGGTGTGGTTGTTGCTTTAAAAGATATGGTGGTGGAAGAGTCCTCTTAGGAGATGAACTCTTGCTAGTTCTATCTTTTAAGAAAATGAGTGTCTACAAAAGGTTATTCAGATTCGAGTGCGAGTGTGATATAATGTACGTGATGAGCACAAGTCTATACTCATATATTGATATGCATCAAACAAGGTTATTTAGAATCATTTCGGATCGTTGATCTCTTATGGTCAAATCGAATCACGTCATGTCGTACCGGATTTGAATATTGTTCGAATAAAAATTTTCAAGTTCGGGTCAGAATTATCTTCAATAAGGTTTGCAGGGCTATAAAAGTTGGATTTCACATGGAAGTAGTAATTTGGTCGTGGAAAGGAAGATCATAAAGGCGATGGCTAGAAGCCAACATAGACTCAATAATCTCGATCTAGAAGAAGATGTAAGATAATGATAATAAATAATTTATCTTTATTTTTTTTTCTAATTCTTCTTAATTAATTAATAATTTAATGATGCACATGGCAGATTATGTGTTATACTTGAGGAAATATAGATAAACCTGGGAATACTAAGATGCTTGAAAAGCCTAAACACATTGAAGACAGACCAAAGAAAGCTTTGGCTTATGAGAATGCCAACATTTTCAACCCCTTAGGTGTGAAAAATGCCATAGAGAAACAAATCAAAGTGAATCCCTACTTGAATCTTGTGATTTTATGTGTACACGGTAATATATCGGACATGGATATGCGTCCGACATGAATATTCTAATTCATAACATATTGTAATGTGCCTAGATTGTTAAGAAAATGTCACTGGAACTAAGATAGGAGCAACGCGAAGTGAAACTGGAAATCGAACGTATAGAGAAACAACTTAAGCCTATGAAAGACGAGGCGTTTGTTTACCGTACTCGGCGATTGGAGATGTTGACGCGGAAGGAAGCAGCCCAGCATTGCATTTTGAAACTGAGGCAAACGTTTGTTGAAATGGTACCAAGTTACCCTTAAGTAGTTACTTGTATCCCTACAATAGCTCAGATTATCGCGATATAAGAAAATTTGTAAATATTACAGTTTGAGGTTTAGAGTTTAGGGTTTATACATAGATGAACGTTGTCGTAACATTTTTACCTACATGGTTATTATCCATATATCGATTCAGAATGGAAAGTATGATGAATATGTGTCAGTGTTGAGCAATGCCAGAGAGCTTTCCAGGAACAAAGATATTGCTGCACTGAGGAAACTCTCACGTCATCAGGTTTTATTTCTCAGACCAATTTTTTTTTTTTATCATTCTGATGTTTGAATTCATCAAAATTTTCTATACAACTGCATAATCTGGTTATTGTTTGTCGCAATTATAAGCCAGTAAGGATGGATCGAGGGGTATAGGGATGACCGGTCTCATGAAAATTAAAAACTAATTGAAATGTAAATTAAAGTATGTTGAAATTGACAAAAATGGAAAAAAATAATAAGGCAAAATAATATTTTTCCAACTTTATTGGTTTAGTCATTTTAGTCCTCAAGCTTTTTTTGGGGTCAAATTAGTCCAAATGTGATGGAACTGTAATGGATCGTTAAGCTGAAATAAGTTGTTTGTCCTTATTAAAATGTTGACAACAACTATTTTGTTATTTGCTTCCATTTTATCAAAAAATATTAAAAAAATATAAAAAGCCGATGTCCATATTTCAGTAAGGATAATATAAAAAATTAAAACATTTTGATAACGTGGAAGAAAAGGATAAAATAGATAATGTCAGCTTGACAACGTTGTTATTGTTTTGTCACTTTTAGGTCAATTTAATAAAAAAAATTTAAAAATTCAAGGGTTAAAATGGCTAAACTAAAAAGTTGATGAGCCAAAAAGTCATTCCACCAAATAATAATGTAGTGAGAAGGTGGTGGCAAAAGAGTTGATTCATTACTTGGCGTGGGGTGCAAGGGCTTTCGGGTTTTTAATAAAAGCATTAAGCCTCGCACCAATTCTCAATTCAATCATATATATATATATTTGAAAGGCCACATCCACTATATCCAAGGTAAATGTATGATCATTTCTGATTTTCTATATACATCTTTTTGATTTCTTCGTATCGAACACCTATCCGTATTCGATTCTCATCCGATTTTGCGCCGATCCATATTCTCGACTTCTTAGCTTCTTGTATCTAACTTGAAAAATGCAGTGTCATATATACAATTTTGAGAATGAATCTGTTTAACTGCATCAAAACAATATGCAGGAACATCATGGCAATGGACGACTCGGAAGCTAATTCAACACTGCCGGTTCTTATTCACGAAAATGAAGAACATGAAAAAGTGATTTACGATCGAATTCATTGTTCTAAAAAGATTCGTCGATTCTATTTTGTCAAGTTTTGGCCATATAAGGACCCTGATGAAGTATCCGAAATTGCAGAAGCAGAGCAGCTGATTGAAAACTTGGACTAAAAGTTAAATCAAATGCGCCGAGAATACAAACTTACAACGGTATGTATGTATGTAACGACATTAAATCTTTATTATCTATATTCAACACATATTTGAACATGAGTAAGGAAATTTTGGACAGTTAAAGTGGATCGATACACGTTCACAAATCGATCATCTAAACAATCGGAAATCAAGCATTTCATACAGATTGGAGTGGCAAACGAGGATGTTGTTGGATCACCTGCAACTTCAGTTGCATAAGCTTCACTTAGCCAGCAACATTCCTCATAAACACAAAGGACAACCAAATCACACTCGAGTAAGTTTCTCGTTGCTCGGATTTTGACTTGAGTGTCGGATATTTGGATGATTATATCACTTTACTTGTATCTCGACATGCATCCGACACGGATATATTGGATATGCAGGGCTTTCGAAGCTGGATTTCACATGGAAGAAGTAATTTGGCCGTAGAAAGGAAGCTCATAAAAGAAGTGGTTAGAAGCCAACACAGAGTCATGAATGATCTTGATTTAAGCAGCAGCTCATTACAAGAACAAATTGAAGAATTTGTAAGATAATAATCATAACAATTTATTAAACTTAAAAATTCTTAATTAATCTTCTTTTAATGATATCTATGGCAAACTAGTTGGCTTAGTTGGGGGAATATAGACAAGTCCAGGTATACCCAGATGCTTGAAAAGCTCAAACAAATTGAAGAGAAAAAAGAGAGCTTTGGCTGATTCTGCTAAAGAATCCAACATTTTCATCCCCTCAACTCAGAGAAATGACATCAAGGAGCAAATCGAAGTAAATCCCTACTTAAATCCTATTTTTCGTGTCATCTTCCTGTATTAGACATACGTGTTCTCGATCATTTTAACTATATATATGTTGATAAATATATAGTTTGTTTAGAAAATGTCACTGGAACTAAGAGTCGAGCTACGCAATGTGGAATCGGAGATCGAGCGTTTATCGAACGAATTTGATCCTTGGGAAGAAAAGGATTTTGTTTATAATCATGACACTTGGCATTGGGAGATGTTGAAGCAAAAGGAAGCAGCCCAAAGTTGCATTTTGAGACTGAGGCAAACGTTTGATGAAATGGTACCGAGCTAAGTTTCGGATTTTAAGAATATATATATGAATCAATCGAGTTAAGCTCCGGGTTTCATGTATATATATTTGTCGTCGCAACATTTTTATCTCCGTGTTATCTGTTGATTCAGAATGGCATGTATGTTGAAAATGTTGCACTGTTGAGCAATGCCAGAGAGCTTGCAAGGAACAAAGATATTGCCTCACTAAGGCAACTATCACATCACCAGGTTGAAGAATTCATGTCGGAGTGGAATCATCCTTATGTTAAATCTTTCAGATTTAATTACGAGTTTAATATCTTAAATTCACTACTTAAACGCAGATTAAGCCAAGATGAACGGATTGAATTCCAAGACGATGATCGAGAAACACTTTGATACATTGCGGATGGATCTAATATATGTAAGCTGGGATAAACAAAGACTCTGATGTACAAGACATTAATGGTGATCTCTATGATGCTAAATTACGAGAGCTGAACTGTTCCATTTTCAGCCTCTGTTATTGATACGAGGCATTAACCATTCTGATAAAAATACATGGTAATGCCAGATACATATGCATGCATATATTACATTAAAGATATCACAGTAAACCCGACCTCCAAGACTAGAACGGTCCGACTGCATTTTTTGCTGCAATAACTTTGCTAACCAATAGCTTCCACTTAGTCTCGTCTTTCTTGCATTGCTGCTGAATTTTCTCCTTAAAATGCCTATGAAACAGGTGAAGGAGATGATCAAATCAGCGGAATTAGATGTCTGATTAATTTGTCATCGTTGATATGGACTATAATGACCAATCACAGGAATCAACGGTTGCTTACCTGCAAAGAGGAACCTTGCAAGAATCCGGTTCATTGCAAATGCGGGAATGCAGTTCGAGAAGCTGCCACATGCGCTTGCAATGATTGCATCCTCCCGGGACCCGACTCTTACAACCGGAGAAATGACGAACTAAAGCCTCGAGTCCCTTACAAGCCGGGAAATTGCAGGTAACTTGATTTCCTTTCAGCACTTTGTCACGAGGACCGATCGTTCGACAACCGTCCTTGCAAATGTGAAGGAGAGCCTCCATTGCCTCGTGTAATTGCAAGTAGACCTTTTTCTCTTCTATTTTCCTCTGCCTCTCTTGCTTTCTCTTAAGGAAAACAAAGCAATAAGTAAAGCCAATGGTTTTTAAAACAAGCCATCTACTAATGTATAAGCGTAAACCGAGAAGGGTTCGACTTACAGAATCAGCTTCAACAACGCACTCTACGAGTTCTTGCTCGAGAGCCGGATTAGCACGTTTCATTACTTTCCACCCTTCAGTCGATGATACAGATTTGAAATCCTTTACGACCATACGAATGCAAACAAAAGCCAGCCTAGGTGCATCACAATTCCGGGCTAACTGAAGGACATCGATCATGTTTTCTCTGTTAAGCCAGCCCTGCTCCAGTAAGCTAATACAGACTCTTTTCAACTGCAGAACCGAGTAGGCATGCGACAACACTAATAGATGGAGAACAAACTTCTTCAGCTCTTCCTCTTCATAGCTGCATTCCATATCGAAAAAACATGAGTATACCAGGTTATAACTCGGATAACCGAGAAAACCGAAAATTTCCTAATCAAAAAATAAACATATAAGATGCAACAAATTTCATTGCAGTATCATGGCATAACAACATCAAAACATACACAAAGTTGCCATATTCGGTTTTGATTTCTGATTAGAACATACATGAAACTGTCATCAAAATGATTTCGAACGTACCGGGATGAATATAAAAAACGAACAAACAGTCGGACGGCATCGTGAGGTACTCCGGGAATTTTGATGTATCTCATGCCTTGCTTGACTTTTGATTGGCCGATCATACTGCTCAGCACAGGTGATGCAGTTCTCTGCATAAAACATTATACATATAGCTTTGATTTATAAGGAAATCGAATTAAAGCTCGAATTCCCATTTCCGAGTCCGTTCAATAAACAATTAAAAGCAAATATAATTGAACTGACCAGAACAACAGAATGAGCAGGAACATATGATCTGTCCTCGGTGACAATGCAAACATCTGCACCATAACCATCCTTGAAAACCTTGTCCCACATATCCATTGTCTCCTTCGGGGCAAAGCAGCACTCGAGCGGCCTTCTCGGATACTTACTTCTCGTACTGATATTACTCGGAAGAGGCGGCGGTTTGGGGATGTTACAACTACTAGACACCAAATAACACTCCGGAGCTTCCGGCACAGGAAAAGTATCAGCCAGATCCACTTCCTCTCCGTGTGCAGTCGATGACCAAGTTAAGGTCTCAATATGTGACGACATCAGGGCAGAATCGATAGCTGGTGAAGCCATGAAACATAAATTCTTACCAGAACACCTGCACTAAAAAATCAAACAAAATTGCAAATGAGCTACAACTGCAGTAATTAATCAAGTTTATAAATATGAACTTGGAGAGATGAATATACATATATATACAGAAAATTCATACAAATATATAGATTTCATTAAATGGAATCTTAAGGTTGCACCGTTTCATGTCAAAATCTTATCCGACAAGGAATGTTTGGACTTGAAAACTTAACAGAATCAAACAGGGAAAGTATCAACTGATAAATGTTTCTTAACGGTTGCCTACCTTTAAGGCTAGATTTGGTAATTGATGTAAGAAAAATCAGTCCAGATTTTGCCGGATCTTCTTCGGAGTATTTAATGATCTACAAAGCTGAAGAACCTGAACCAAAAAAAAAAACACTTGAAAAAAACTAAAAAAATATATCGTTACATCACATATAAATTAAATATTCATTAAAATATATAATAAAAAACACACACACAGATTTATAGTGAGAATACATGAAAAATGATTACAAAAATGGAAAAAAATAAGAGAAAATGATTCTTTTAGAAAATATTAAAAACTTACCTTTTGGATCAAACAGCTAAAGAAAGTGGTATTTGGGAGAGCATTGGTATTGTGGAGCTTCAAAAACGACGGAGTTTCGGTGCTCAGAGAAGGAGATATGTGTTCGTTTATGACGCCAAAGCGAAGAAGACGAGAGAATTCAGAATTGAATAAATAATAATATTATTTTCTGCTAAAAATGAAGAAGGCGAGAGAACTTATCTCGTGATAAATTTAGAAGATTCAACTTCAATATATCGTATCATTATTTTCTACATTTTACGTCAAAGTTTTCTTTTTTTCCAAAAGATTTCTCGATTTATTTAATAATTATAATCAAAATTGATCACTATAATTTATAACGAGTTTGATAATTAAATTTTATTTAGATAAAATTCATTTATAATAAAATTTAGATAAATTTCATTTATAATAAAATTTAAAATTTTAAAGTAAATAATGACAGATTTTAATAAAATAACTTGTTATGTAATTAGAATTTTTTAAAATATTTTAGAATTTAATTAGCTTATTCAAAAACTTTAAAAGGTATAATGAGAAGTTTTAAAATTTAGAGATTTAATATAAACTTTTCAACATTGAGGACTAAGGTTCAGTTATTGATATTATGATTAGTTTATAATAATAAGATTCAAACTTAAAATTTTATAATTTTTAATCTTAACTTTACCATTAAGTTAATGTATCACGGATTTTATGTTTACTTTTAATTATTTTATGAAATGTATGGTATAAACATTAGTATATTTCTTCACAAATTAGGCTTCTATTGCTATATCAAAACCATGTGTTATTTTATTTTGAAATATTACAGTAATAAAATTTAATAAAAGAAACCAATTGTTTAGTCACTGAATTGTAATCATATTTTTATTTGAATTACTAAACTATAAAAATTCCAATTATAACATTTAAGCTCTAAAAGTAAAATTTGATCGATTTTAAATTAAATTTTTAGTCGAACTCAAACTTCTTATGACTTAAACTTAACTAGAGATGATTATTAGCATTTAATTTTAGTAATCAAAGATTAAATCCGTCAAATATAAAAATATATATACTAGATTTGAAATAAAATCAGAACCATTCAATCTCTCGTTAGTTACAAAATCTGATTAGGGTTTCTCTCATAGAAATGGACACGTAAGTGCAATATGGAGTCTACATGTCATAGAAACATACAATTTCTGACAAAGGCTAAACTGGAATGTCGGCAAACTTTTATCTTAAAACAATGCTAACTTTGATGCAAACTTTTTCCTTCTTTTTCCAATTAGTTTTGCCTTTTAAATAACTTTACTAAAACTTTAGACCTACTAAAAGGTATTTTATATTTATATTTAATCAATATTATTTAAATCAAAACAATTAAATAAAAAAATCGATAGTTCGACCAGATTAATTAGGGATGTTAAAATAAATATAGAATGAACTGTTACGAAATATAAAAAATAAGAACAAGAAAACGACAAATATTTTTAATTTTATATAATTTATTAATTGAACTAGTAAATTCTGTTAAACTAAAAAAGTTAACAACATGATTGAATAAATCATTAACTATCTTTACATTACTTTTAATCATCTGATCTACATAAAAAGAGAAGATAAAGGCTTTTTATTCTCGTCTTTTTTTATTCCTTAGTGGTGTGATATAAGAAAAATGATGACTTGAAAAGTTCTAAAAATGATAAAAAAAAAGGAGAATTATTAATAAAGCCCCGAGTTTTTTTAAAAATAATAATAAATATTAATATTAACATTCAAATAAAAAAGTAATTCGACCTACCTAAAAATGTAACTCACTTTAATGTAATTTACAATCTTTCAATTTATCCGGAGACGATATTATAAGAGAAGAGATGGGACGCGAGTGTGACATATGTACTAGTTTCATAGAGGGTGGGGACCACCTCGTAGTCGTCACACGGCCATACATGAACCCACCAATACTACATGCACACGTGGATAAGATGATTGATGAGATCGCGTAGAAAGAGAGACACGGAAAGTGGGGCGGTTTGAAGAAAGACAAGGAAAATGACATGCTAGATTCTATTGTCCTATCATTTTAGTAGATTTAATTTTATGGGCTTGTTATTTTCTGTTTTTTATAGTTCGATCCCTTCCAGCTCAATTGATAGAGCACAAGACTTTTAACCTTGTGGTCGTGGCATCGAGTTCCACGGAAGGCATTTCATAATTCGGAAGTCTCCTACGAAAGCAGCTCTCAACCTGACGTTGTAGACAGCCTATTATCATACATTCCCTTATCCTATTAAAGGGTCTCCTAATTTTTTTTATTCTTGATCATTCTTTCAAAGTTTTTCCCCCCTTGGCTTTTTTGCATTGAAGAGTCGACCGAAAGCTACTTTTTCCAACTCATGAATATAAATAATTCTAAACACCATCAAGCTACACTTTAAATAAGTCATTTAAGATGTGTCCTTATCGGATCATGCACCGCAAGTACATCCAACATACAGCGTTACTCTCTAAATTATCCCATCTATAAACAACCTAGCCTTTTCTTTATGGTAACGGACCAAAGAACTTGTATTATCATAGATGAAACGTGAAATCTAAAGCATCTAAACACAGAAAAGCAAGGTGACCGATTGAGATAAAAGAGTAGCAAAATAGCTATCAACTCTTCCTTTCTGAACCTTGCAGAGACAATAAAATTTTCAAAGGAAATGTTGTGAACATGTATATCAAGAGCATCTCATCAAACTTGTCCAAAACTTACGATTCAATAATTGAACATTAAGGGTAATTACATACCAGTAGTTCACATAAGCTTCCACTGAAAGATATTGTTTCATGGATTTGTCCTCGAGGGAGACAATAAATATCATCTCGGTCCAATGCAGAATCAATGGTGCAACAAGAACTCAAACCTCGCTGCTTAATTGGAGCCCGCTGAGAACTGAAAACTGAATATATAAATACAATTCTGTTTTTGACCAAAACACTCTATTTTGGCTTACTTCACTATCCACAATAGCATGAACCAAGCATGCCTATGAATGGAGTTGCTGAAGTGCATACCTGGATTTATTAGAAATATCATCAACGTCTAAAAGCGTTTCTTTCTGATTCATAACGGCCTTGTGAATAATGTGCTCTGCGACGGACACTCTCTTCTATTGTTGAGCTTCCTCCCATCTCGGCACCGTAAATGCTTTTATGAGCAGCATCCAAGAAGTTTCTGCCAGTAGATGTGCTGGACACTGTAGCCTCTCGAGCATCATTCTCCTCCTCCTTTTTCAACCGTTTCCATCTTTGCTCTTCATGCAACTCAGCATCCTCTTGCATCTCACGAAGCCTGGCAGCTCTCTCCTCTTCAGAAAGTTTAGAGGTGCCACCCCGGCGTCTGTTATCCCGAGGTGCAGTGTCTCTATGGTCAGAAGATGGTCTATCTTTTTCTTGATTTTTATCTGCTTCAATCCTTCGTGGAGCTTGAGAAGAATATTTATCGTGCTTAGACTTATCATGGTTCCTTTTACCATCATCTCGATCATCATATTCATATTTCTGCCTGCAGCGATTCTTCTCTCGACTTTCTGCTTCCTTCAATTCATCTTTCGAATCTGACTCAATTCTGCGATAATTGCCCTCTTTATCTGACCTCTTGTGATAGTCAAAAGCTGGCCTATCTTTTTCTCGACTTTTATCAGCCTCAATACTTCGTGGAGCTTGAGAAGAATATTTATCACGCTTAGATTTGTAATGGTTCCTCTTAACATCATCTTGATCATCATATCTGTATTTCTGTCCGCGGAAACTCTTCTCTCGACTTTCTGCTTCTTTTAATTCTTCTGAGTCTGACTCCTGATAGCGGCCCTCATTATCTGACCTCTTGTGATGGCGATCTCTATTTCTTTTGTCCTCCTTAGAAATGTCATCTTCAGAATCTGAATGGTGTGATGAAAGTTTTCGCTGCTTGGAACTACTTCTCTGGTGCATCTTACGGTGTTCCTTATGATAAGGTGATTTTTCCTTTTTTTTCTTTTCTACAACCTGTTAAACAATTAATCGGAAACAAAAGTATGATTAGTAATTACAATAGTTAATCTCATTGAACTATACAATAGACAAAGTAATTGCAACTATTGATGGGTTCCCTACCCCTACTTAATCAGAAATCATATTCCCTACCCCTACTTAATCTGCTAGAGAAATAGAATAGATAGATAGCATACCGATTTACGAATCATTGCCATTTGGACGGGGTTGTTCTTGATGCGGGCAAGAGCTTCTTGCTCGCGCTGGCGAATCATAAGCAAGGGATCCGAATGGAGCTTGCGCCAGGCATCATTGGCTGAGTGAGGTTTGTCCTCGAACAAGGCACCCGGGGCAGAAGACTGGTTGGCTGAAGAATCCGTAGCCTTAGACGACGGGAGAGCCTCTTCAAGAGCCTTAAAACCTGCACCGCTGCCTCCAGCTGCGGAGCTACTGGCGCCTTTCCCAACTGCAAGCCCAGAATCGTATAGGAAATCCAACCTCTCCTGCTTCCTGCAGAATTGAATTAAAAGAAGAAGAAGAAGTAATTAAACTAAAACCCTAACCCTAAACTCGAAAATAAAAGAGGGGAAGCCAAGGAAATAGACGCACGGGACAAGGCCAGCTTGTTCCTGGAGAAGACGAAACTCAGAGCGTTCCCTCTCCTCATGAATCTGCTTGCGAAGCTCTTCCAATTTCTTCTGCTCAGCCTCATGCTTCTGTTCCGCTTTCCATACGTTTTCGATGTTCCTCAAACTTCCAGTATGCCATCCTTTCTTGTTCAGAAACTTCAACGCCATTCTGTTTTCAAATTTGGGATGCTGAAATCAGCCAAATCAATTACCCGCTCCTCGAATACGCCTAATTTAAATCTCCTATGGCTATAATCAGAACCTGTATAAGATTGAACAAATTTAAATGTAACCCTAGCAAATAACAAGTTGAACAAATGTGCAATTTACCCTAGAATCATTAAAAAAAATTGAATTGCACAGCTGAGAGGAAAAAGAACATACCCAATTGAAGCCGTCGAAGGGAGAATTATGGAAACAAATTCGATGGTAGAGAAATTTGAAGGAATCACAATCGAATTTAAACTTGGACTATCCATCCAACTTGCTCGGGTCAGGTCAATTCATGCTCACCCGGCCCAACTCCTACACCTAGTTCAACAATAAAATAATATTTTGATTAAATTTAAGGATAAAGTTTACAAATAGTTCCATAATTTTTAGGGCGCTTGTATTTTGGTCACCCAACTTTTGAAACTTACAATACAATCATCAAACTTTTAGTTCGTTTTCAATAAGGTCTCTTCCGTAACTCTCGTTAGTTTTAGCTGGCGTGGCACTTAACTCATGTTAACTCCCCCACCCCCTTCTTCTTCTTCTTCTTCTTCTCTCACCTCCAATCACCCCACCTCTGGTCAGCAGTGGCTCACACTGCTATCATCATCTTCACCTACGTTACCTTCCGACCACACCTCGACCCTCGATTCATACTTACAGTTTGTCGTTTGTCTCAAATCGCAAGAAGACCGTTCGAACACTCATCTTTGATCTCTGTCATCAGTCGTCAATGACCATCATTGTCGGTACCAGTAGGAGCGCAACCCCATTCCGACCAAAACCCCTCTAACCACTCGCCTAGACTCAGCTCTGTTCATTGTGGAGATAGTCCCAAACCTCGTCAGAAAACTCCAACGCCTCTTTTCTGTTTTCATCAATTTTTGCCCGGTTGGGTCATCCGTTTGCCACACCGCCACCACTGTTGAATTTCTCACACTGTTCTGACCAAAACCCAATCAACCGTGCCTCCTCACCATCATCCCTCCTCTGTCCGCCGTTGATTAGGAAGAATGAGAAGCAGAAAAGAAGAAGGGAGTAGGGTTAATGGGAGTTAAGTGCCAAGTCAGCTAAAACTAACAGAAGGTAACGACATAGACCTTATTGAAAACAAACTAAAAGTTTGATGATTGTATTGCAAGTTTCAAAAGTTGAGTAACCAAAATGCAAGCACCCTAAAAGTTTGAGGACTATTTATATACTTTACCCTAAATTTAATATATATATATATATATATATAGACTGCCTTGATCCAACGAGTTGGTGAGTTACTCCAGAAACAGTGGAACGTAAAACTTTTTTACGTTAACTGTGAAGCTAATGAAGTTGAAGATCACACATCAAGAGAAATATGAGGCTGGAGCTAACGGTGTTCCAAACCCCGCCTGCAGAAGTTAGGCAACTCCTCACGCGTGAGAAAAAGTTGGAGTAGAGCCCTTTCACACCGCTTTGCAGTGTTCTATTGTTACCCCCCAAAAAAAATTAGGTTCGGGTTGATTAAAAAATATTGTACGAGTCCAAAGCATGTATCAGACTGTCAGTCACTGAATATTCTACGAGTTAAAAGCATATATCATGTTGAAATGGTTAGCAGTTGTACATAATATATACATATGTTAATATTCGAGTCACATTCTATACTAATGGATGTCAATTCCCCAAACGTTTATCCTTCAAAAGACTCAAAGCAACCTTTTCCACTACGATTTTCATCTCCTAAACCATGAAACCCGAATTACGTGGCTCCGACATCAATTCGACACTATATCGGACAGCTGCGATGAAGGCGGATTCTCGAAAGCCAAGAACATCGGCGACTACCTGTACGGCTACAAGCTGCCGCGTCAAAAACCCTAACAAAACTCATCATAAAATACCAAAATTCACCACATCCCATTGACCGCACAATCTACTATGCTTTCCTTCCATGAGCTCTCGATGTCGCCAACGCCAAGTAATTCGGCATATTCGGATCCGATTTCTACGCAGGTGTGTGCTGTGAATTACATATTTTACTATGCTCATCATGGGCTTTTGAGTCCTCAGGTTTTGTCGTCGGTAGAGCCGATCGCCATCCCTGGTTTTCCGTTGCTTGAGCCTCGAGACATGTTGTCGTGCATCTATGTCGCTAGCTTATATACATCTTATTAATTTGCAGTTAGCGTTGAATCAGTTCTCTATTGCAGACAAAGCCAATTTCACTATAGTTAATACCTTCTACGAGTTGGAACAAGAGATTAGTTCGTTTACTTTTGACTATATATACTATGGGTTTAACCAAAAGTTCCAAATCGTTAAAAATGTCGAGTTACTTGAAATTCAAGTGTTAAAAGTTTGGCTTAAACTCTTAAAACATAAGAAGCAGGAATATTAAAGAATTACTTGATGATTCATCCATTGATTAAAGTAGAATTATTATGTATATTTACAGCAAAACTAACCATGCTATCTAATAAAACTAACTGCCTCTAACTAACTAATTTGTTGCTAACTTCTACATAAACTCGATCAATTTTCAATTTTAACATTCGAGTTTATTTAGAGAGAAAATTTGATCTACGTAAGCTAGAGATCGAGTTTATTATTTGTTGTTAGACATAGTGATTACAAGGAGGCAGGAGAGGGTGGCTTGGACTGGGGTTACAAGGAGGTTTGGCAAGATAGAGTTGTTCATGGAGTGTTGTTGTATAGGTGGATTGTTTGTATTTGTATAGTGACTGCGTTAATTGGGAGGGATGCTGCTGATTCTTGTTGTATTAGGGTTGGTTGTTGTCTTGTGTAATTTGTAACATCTCTCTATTTCTCTTGGGTAATAGAAATTCACCGTTCATTAAAAATAAAATGATAGCAATTAATATAAATAAGATGAATATGAGCTTTACTCTTTAAATTAATGAAAATTAATTTATAATATATAATTTTTAAAAGAAATGAATGGATGTTAAAATATAGACGGAAGTGATTGATTTAATAATGGAGATTTGATGTTATACACTTTTCAAGTTTACCGTAAGCAAATACGTAAGCAATTAATAGACTGTTTTTATCTTTTCCGTCGATTCCGTCTGACTTACACAGTCGGTCGATTCAGTATCCAAAGTGTTGACAATCCCATCCTCCTACTCGGATCAAAGACTCCACAGCCACCAACACTATGACCTCAATCGTGTTAGTCTTTCAATTTTTATATAATTTAAATATTCTCTTTAAATATTTCATCGATGATTTAATTGTCTATCTTTTATATTTTTAAAGTAATTTTTTAAGAAATTTATATTTTTTGATATAAAATTTTATGTTCATCTCTATCTCAAATTTATTTACGTCTAATTCAATAACATGACTCCTCTTACCATTCACTAAATGAAAGAACTTGCATGGGGTTTAAAGCAAACTGAGTTCGACTTCTTGAGGGTGGTTGGATCATCCAAATTAGATAAAGTTTCGGATGGGTTCGTCAAAGAAATGGGTGTTAAGGCCTTGATAGCTAACTGGATTCATCGAATCAAAGTGCTTGGTCGAAGTCGACGACGGAAGCCTTGCGTTTCAAGGTGCCAGCGGTGGCGATGCCATGATAGAGAGACCAAACCACGATTGGTAAGCTGGTCGAAAATGGTTGGAAGGTCAGAGTTGGAGTTAAGGTCGACGAGGATGGGATCGTGAGCCGAGATGAGATAGAGGGATGCATTAGACTAGTTACGGGAAAAAAGGGAAGGAAATCAAAGGGAGTGCAAAGAAATGGACGGAATTATAAAAATGTCAAGAAAATTTTGAAATTTATAAAAAATAAAAAAATATTTTTCCAAATTATATAATTTTAAAAATATTAAAATTTCTGACTTATAAAAAATGCTTAAAAGTCTTAAAATATTTTTGAAAACTCGAGTATTATAATTTCTAAAAACATATATATATACTTTTAAAAATAAATTCTGAATTTTTAAGATTTTTTTTCTATTCATTCTAATATAAGTACAAAATGATATATATATATATATATATATATATATATATATATAACTTAGTTTGTTTTTTAATATAATGCGTGGCCAGAATAGGATCAAACAAATATCATATAAATAGACCAAACGATATCAGTTGTTTCGTGTACAAGATTGACATATGATAATTTTGTCCGATTCCAATTTCGTGTGATTGGAAATCATCTCATTAGGAATTATCTAAAAGTCTAGTCTAATACATCATATTTAATAAACATAAAATATTTTTTTAAATAAGACTAATACCATAATACGAAAGTTAACGATACAACTTAGATAGGATTGGGATTAGATTTAAGATGTGTCAAATAAAAGACGATAGAGTTTAAGATAAACTACTCCATTAGTCATTTAATTTTGGGTGTGTTCTATTTTGATCATCAAACTATTTAATTTTATAAATTTAGTCATTAATGTTACACTTTAGTACCAATTTAATCATCGATCATTAAGTTAATAACATAGTCAATTTTTAATTGGTATATTTTTGCATTTAGCCCCTCTCTATGTTGAAGGTTTTGGGGTGATTGGATTAAAGGTGATAGTATAGGGTTAAAATATCATATAATAGTAAAAATACTTTCAAAATATAGACAAATGAAAGGACCAAAGTCATTATTTTTTGAAGTTTCAAATTATTCTAGTATTTTTATGCTTTTTCTAATTTTTTTGTTTTTTGAATTTTTATAATTACAATATTTAAGATTAGGACTAAATTGATAAACATTGTCAGTGTAAAGGATTAAACTTGTAAGTGTAGAGAGCTAAATTGATAAAATTTATAAACGTGAAGGTTAAATTTATTAAATAATTTAAAATTAGAAATAATTAGATAGAATAGATAAGCGTTGAAGGCTAAATGCGTGATTATTTCAATTAAGAAACTGACTTGCGTTTTCAATTTAATGGTCAATGATTAAATTGAAACTAGTGTAAGGGTAGTGACTGAGTTTACAAAAGTTTTAGTTTGAAAACTGAAATAGAACACACCTAACAATTTTATGACTAATAAGATGATTTACCATAAAATTTACAAATCAATTATTAAACGAGGAGATCCATAAATAATGAACCGACTAAACTAATTTTCAAGATTATATGTATCAATTATTCATTGCTTCCTTTATAAACATCTTACTCTAATGTCCATGTATATCATAAGAGAAAAATGGAGAGAAAAGCTACAAACAGAGTCCATGTATTGGCCATTCCTTACCCTAGCCAAGGCCATATTAACCCAATGCTCCAATTCTCCAAACGTTTATCTTCCAAAGGACTCAAAGCTACCTTTGTTACCACCATCTTCATCTCCCAAACCATGAAACCCCAATTAATCGGCTCCGACATCGATTTCGACACGATATCGGACGGCTGCGACGAAGGCGGATTCTCGGAAGCCAAGAGTGTAGACAACTACCTCGTACGGTTGCAAGATGCTGGGTCGAGAACGCTAACTGAACTGATCATAAAATACAGAAACTCATCCCATCCTATCGACTTAATAATCTACGACGCTTTCCTTCCGTGGGCTCTCGATGTTTGCCAAGCAGTTTGGCATAGCCGGGGCTGCTTTTTCACGCAGGCGTGTGCCGTGGATTACATATATTACTATGCTCACCATGGGCTTTTGAGTCTTCCTGTTTCGTCATCTGCGTTGCCGATCACCATCCCCGGTTTGCCGTTGCTTGAGCTTCGAGACATGCCGTCGTTCATCTACGTCGCTGGATCGTATCCATCTTATTTTGAGATTGTGTTGAGTCAGTTCTCTAATGCAGACCAAGCGGATTTCATTCTAGTTAACACCTTCTACAAGTTGGAACAAGAGGTTAGTTTAATCACATTAACTATATGGTCTGAAGGTTTAATCGAACCTAGCCGAGTTCAGGTTATCAAAAAACTTGAAAAGTTAAAATCCGAGGCTTAAAGCTCGACTCAAGCTCAACTGAGTTTCAGTTTTAATGTTCGAGCTCACTTAAAGGCCAAACCGATAATGACGTTTTATTTTCAATGAACTGGCATTGTACTTAATATCGTAAGCAAATATGTAAGCAATATTAATAGTTGCAAAGGTTGGCTGATTTACGTTGACCCATCTGGTGGAACAGGTTGTTGATTCGATGTCGAAAGTGATGACTCCGCCATTGTTAACGATCGGACCAACAATCCCATCCATGTATTTAGATCAAAGACTCGAAAACAACAAAGATTATGACCTCAATCTCTTCAAACTGGACTCCACCAGTACTCATTGGTTGACCTCCAAGACACCGAGGTCAGTCGTTTACGTCTCGTTTGGCAGCATGGCCAACCTATCCATTGACCAAATGGAAGAACTGGCAAGAGGTTTGAAGCAAACGGGGTTTGATTTCTTGTGGGTGATTCGATCATCGGAGATGGCCAAAGTCCCAGACTGGTTTGCCGAAGAAATGGGTGATAAAGCCATGATAGCAAACTGGATTCCCCAAACCGAAGTGTTGGCACACGAGGCCGTGGGGTGTTTTTCACGCATTGTGGGTGGAACTCAACGATCGAGTCTTTGTGTTTGGGCGTGCCGATGGTGGCGATGCCACAATGGACCGACCAAACCACAGATGCTAAGCTGGTTGAGGATGTATGGAAGGTTGGGGTTCGAGTTGAGGTCGGAGAGGATGGGATTGTAAGCCGAGATGAAATTGAGGGTTGCATTAGACAGGTTATGGAAGGGGAGAAAGGGAGATCAGTGAAAGAAAATGCTCTGAAATGGAAGGAATTGGCAGTTGAAGCAGTGTGTGAAGGTGGAAGTTCAGACAAGAACATAGATGTATTTGTTTCTGCAATACTGGCAGAATGTAAATACTCTTAAAATGGTAGATCTGAAACTTTTGTTCAATCATCATTTTCGTGACTGGTAGTTTTTCCAACAGAAAAGAGGACTGCCCTGTCTACAGCAATAAAAATCATTAAGCCTTAAGTGTTGTTAGTATAATAGGTTAGTTATAATGTGCTAGCAACCGCATAACTGTGTAAAACCCCAGCATGAGAGTGCTATATATTCTCGGTGAAAAGAATTAAATGATAGAGCAAAGTTAACAAGTGTTTATTCTAAAATTGCATTTCCAACACAAATTTGCATATATCGAATGCTGCAATTCTTTAAGAGTTTAGCCTCAAAGCCTAATCACAGGCAGTTCAAACAAAAGCTTCAACAAGCTCCGTCAACACAAATAATTTAAAGAAGATGAAAGCTCTAATATCAACATCGATGATTAACACCACTACACTGTCGCCAGTTTCTCCAATACTTAGCCAAGCCTTGGGAAACAAATAACAAATTGCTCTCATCTTCCACAGGTGTTGTCATGAGCTCGAAAATCAGGCATAGAGAGCTTCATTATTTGCACAATCTTGGGCAGTCTGGGGACCATTTGTATGAGCCCATTGCTCCATTTCCTTCAAACATTATGCTGGAGATGACTGATCTGTCATCATTTGTTTGTAACTCTGATTCGTACCCAAGTCTATCGAAATTTTCGTCAGAATTTACAAGAAGCAAGTTGGCTCTTCTGCAGCACTTCAGATAAGCTGGAAGAGGAAGACATAAGTTTAAAAAAGCCTCTGTATATTTTAACACAATCAAACATCCTACATGCAAATCTTGGTAGTATCGAGCATGCCACGAAAGTACGCCTTGAGTTGCATTATTGGGCTTTCTTTTGCCCCTCAATGGAGGCAGATATATGATTAAAACAAGAATTACCTAATAATCATCATCACCATCACTAGAACTGGAGCTATCATCTTCGGGTCTGCTTTCGAAAGAGCCTGAACCTCCTACATATATTTCAAACAAATCAGTTATGCATAGGATAACAGCAATTACTAAATGAAATCAAATAAGGCAACTTACTTGTCCTATCAGAAGCCAGCATCCAATCTTGAAGACAAACCAATGCTTGTAACATCTTTGGTTTTAAAGAACTACGATCAGCGCCAATCACTTGAGAACCAATGTCAAATGCACTGTCAGAAGCAATAGTGGACACTGGAATGGTTAAAACATCGCGAGCCATTCTTGAAAGCTCTGGATACCTCAGGGAGCATACAGTCCAATACTCTAAAACATCTATTTCACTGTTTAGATCATGGCTAGGCTCTTCTAAATAAAGATCGAGTTGAGACTTCTCCACTTGAGTTTGAAATCTGGCACTTTGAAAGGTTTCATAATCTTCAAACCCATCGTTATCATCTTTATCATTGGATATTTTACAGGTAGCAGTTGATAATTCGATAGCATGAGAAGGGCGTGCAGAATTTTGCATGTATTCCTCGAACAAGCCATACAAAGTGTTAACACTTACACTAACATATTTCTGAGCGCCGCTACCATATAGTTTGGTATAACAATATTCAACAAACTTAATCTTATACCTAGGATCCAAGATCGCAGCACATGACAAGATCAAGTTATACGCCGACCAGTATTGGTTCAATTTTGAGTGCATTTCCCTGACCATGCCAGTCATAAAATTTTCTGGACCTCGAACCATATCAAATAAGCGACTATGAACTTTCCATGCCGCTCTGAAATACAAATTTGAAGTCGGCTGTTTGTTTCTAAACAATACACAACTCACCTCAAAAAACACTTTCAGAAATTTGTACAAGACACTCATCTTTTCCCACTCGTCGCCTGATAGTTTGTTTATAAAGTTTTTGTCCTGCTCTGCCAAGTACACAAATGCGTTCTTATAAGACAAAGCAACTTCAAGCATATTATATGTGGAATTCCATCTAGTAGGAGAATCAAGACACAACTTTCTTTGAGTATCCAAATTCAAAGTCCTGGCAATTATGTAAAAGTTCTTCTTCCTATGCGGGGATTGGTGCACATACTTAATACCAAGTCTCAGTTTCCCAATGATATCAATGACTAGGTTCAAACCAACTAGCACAATCGAATTCAAAATGCGAAAGAAACAACCCACATGAAAAAATGCACCCTTGCAAGGAAGGTACTTTTTCGCAGCAAGTCGTGTTCTCAGCATGTCGGCCACACAATCATCACTCGAGAAGTTCTCCAGCGTAATGCTGAACACCTTGTGTTCGATGTTCCATTGAACCATACAAAAAGCTATCTCATCGGCAACAGACAAGCTATCATATGGAGGAGCTATAAGCTTGAACCTTAAAATCCTCTTCTGCAACCTCCATTCATGGTCAATGAAGTGAGCAGTGACACCAATAAAATGATCATCGCAATTGGATTTCCAAGTACTGGATGTCAAACAAATCCGCCCAGGACATGTTGCTAGCAACTCACGGATATTCTCCTTCTCCTTCACATAAATGGAAATGACATCCTTTTTAATAGAGCTCCTACTCAGCACCGGAAATTCAGGACAAGCAGCACCCAATAACCGTCTAAACCCCGACTCTTCAACCATACTGAATGGCTGTTCATCAACAATGATCATCATTGCAATCGCCCGATGGATCTCATCCACATCTATTTTATAGTTCTTTAAGGATGTAGTAGCAGCAATCAAAGTGTCATGGGAAAGAGTGACACGATTGGCATCCCGTTTAGCAGGTTTAAAGCATGCTTCAATCAAACGCTGATCTACGTCATGATTAGTACGTTTAACACAAGCTTCAATGTGTCGTCTCAAGTGAGAAGTACCGCTAGTTGTTTTAGCAGTATATATTCTCCTGCATAGCTTACATATAGCCTTGGAATCTCCTTGCTGCGCTGGAAGCTTCTCGAAAATATCCCAGACTTTGGATGTTGTTTTTGGCCTTTTTGAAGAGCTCTCATATATCTCTTCATGAACCATGCTTAATGGGGTAACGGCTTCTGCTGAGAGATTCTTGAAAAAATCTGCAATTGAGGAAATGGACAAAATACTCTTACAAATCCAAATTATAAGCAAAACAAAGGAGAGATAGTATAAAGCTGAATTAACGATTCGGCTGCAAAAATAAAAAATAAAAAATGGGAGCTTACCTGGACCGAGCTTCTGATCAAAGTTATCCATTTGTCGCTATTACCGAAACTCCAGAGAATGGTGAGAATCAATACATCAGTTTTAATGAAGCAAAGTCCGTGAATGAGAACTGAAAAACCTGGAAATATTGAGATGAGGGAATTCATAAATTCAACACCTCGGGCAGTTAGCAACTTTAGGAAGAAAGGTCAGATGATAATTGACAATGGGATTATAATAAAATTCTAAATACACCCAAATTCTCAAACTTTTCAACTTTCAAAAGGAATCGAGAGCAGAAATTTTACCCGTCGTCCTCGTCCATCAAACAAAAAAGAGAGACGAAGTGCTAAAGCTGAGATAAGGGTCAAATGAAATCCCTAAAACCCAAAACAAAATTCGAGTGAAAAGGGATCGAACCTTAAATTGAGATCGCCAAGAAAATACGCATCTGAAATTAAGAATCAGAATCATAAAACCCTAGAAGAAATCTGCTTTGTTTACAAGAAGATGCCCCAAATTCCAAAAGCAAAAAGACATTCTCCTCGGTTTCATACTCAACTAAATTTTGATTCATTGCAATTTACCCGACACCATGGACGCCATAACTAAAAAATAGAAATGAAACAGATAAAGAGAACATCGTCGAGTTTCCAACTCTCGATGTGCTAGGACACTGTTCACAGCATAGTAAACTAACTGCTAACCCACATAGATAAAGTACATATGGACGAATTACTACTGGATCATCCGGATCGGGTGATTATTCTGTGCGCCACCTAAAATACAACTAAAAAACGACGTAGTCCGTTTTACTACTTTTAGATCAAACAAAAATTTTAATAAAATATTCATATGATCCTTTATCTTTTGGCTCTGACTGATTTTAGTCATTACTCACTAGTTAAAAAAAGAGTTATTTTGATCCTTTATGTTATCAATCCATTTGATTTTAGTCCGTCAACCGTTAACTAACCTTAACCCCTTAACGAGAGATTATGTGGCAATAAAAAAAGATATTCTTCTTCTTACGCTTGTATACATCACTGGGGAGAGAGCAATTCACCCCTTTGAAGAACTCATACCTTTTGATTTCTACAGATCCATTCAAGCTTCCGATTCTCTTCTTTGGATTCTTCACTAGTAGCTTGCTGATGAGATCTTGAACTTTGACCATCTCTTCAAACTCTTTACCGCTTTTAACACTGATTCTCGGGAATGTTAAAGGTTATTGAAGGATGTTGATCAATGTTTACCCATTGTCTTCGCCTTTGAAAGGTGTTCTTCCGTACAACATTTCATATAAAAACACCCCTAGCGTCCACCAGTCCACAGCACTCCCATGGCCTTGTCCTGAGATCACTTCTGGTGCCAAGTATTCGTGGGTTCCGACAAACGACATGAAGTAAGCACACCGGTTCCGTACCGACTTCATGGCCTCGATTATTAGCTTGTTCTGTGATTGTTTTCAATCTAGAACCTTTCTTAATACGATTGAAAGAGTAAAGAAACGTAAGAAAACTTGTGTATTTATCAAAATTGTCTCATACAATGATATCTAATTATTTATAGCAGATTGTTTAGTAGCTAACTACTAACTAATTAACTAACTACTGCTAACTGTTAACTATAGTTGTAACACTTCCGTTTCCTGTTGGAAGATGAGAAACAAGACAACACTGGTTGCATAGGGTAGCACATGCGGGAGTTGAGCAATAGCTTTCGTAATTTTCAACGTCTTCTTCTTCTTCTTTAAGTCTCCACTCTCCACCACTCATAAAATTGTTAAATTCATTCATCGGCTCATCGCATCGGAAGTAGATGTGCTAATTCACCCACTGTTTGTTATCATTCTACTCATCTTCCTCTCCAACTACCACTTTATCATCACTACCGCTGCTACCACCATTCGTGGTGCCATTCATCACCTCTGTGGCAGATGATGCCGCAGGTGCATTACTGGTTCTGTCATCTTCGAATGCAAACCAGTTCGAGTTTGTGAACAGACTGCATTAAAACACATGGGTTGTAATCTCCATTATTATGACTGCTTTAACAAAACAATAAAACTTTACATTTATGAAAGCCAAGGGAATAGGAAGTTCAACAAAATTACCCATCAGGTGATGCATTATGAGCCTCACCAACTAATTACTTCATTACTATGGGTAAAGTTGACAAAGCTCACCTTCCTTGTTCATCTCCAATCCTCAAGGATGATATGACAACCTCAGCAGATTCATCATCGAAGTATGTGTCCTGCAAAATTGAAAACATATATATTTATGTACTCTTTAAAAGACTTTTCTGTTTGCTCTTACACCAATTTGGTTTCTGCAAACAGAAATCATGAGCTATAAAAAGCCATAAATACTTTAAAGAAGAAGAAGACCGACCCGGGGGTGTTTGTTTAACGGAGTTAATGTACCACGTCAAATAAAACTAACGGCGGGTAACGTCAAGGACCTTACTGAAAATGAACTAAAAGTTCAGTGACTGTATTGTAATTTTTAAAAGTTGGTTGACCAAAATGCAAACTCTTTAAAAGTTTTGGGGACTATTTTTAAACTTTACCCAAAATTTTATTTGCCGAGAAAGAAAATTGCATAATTAGCACTAAGTAATAAGATAAACTTAAAAAGGTAGAAAAATCCTATAACACTAAAAGCTTAAATGGCGCACGATAACGGAACTCCCTGGGTGCACATTAGCAGGTCTAATGGAACCTGAGTCTTTCGTTGATTCGCCGGCGTTTATTTCCGATTCCCTCCCAGATCATCTCTACTGTTACTTCTCGTTCGTTGTGGTTCTTGCGATTCATTGAGGCTATTTATTAGAAAGATGGATTGGCGAAAATTGTTTGGAGGCTCGGCAGACCAGAACCTAGAATACTTCCCTCCCAAATTTCGCGATGGAATCCCGACTGTCCTCCCTCCTTCGGAGATCCTCGATGATGGAATTTCCGAGTGGAAACTTTCACTAGTGGGCCAATTTCTGGGGGTTGCTCCAAGTTTCACTTCTATTCATAGGACAATTGAAAAATTATGGAGTAAAGCGCAACTGGGATCTCGAATCCAGGTTAGTACTGCTGGAAATAACATTTTCATTTTCTCTTTCAGTAATGAATCTGCTAGAGATTGGGTACTTGAACAAGGTCCATGGCATGTGCATAATAAGCCCTTAATCCTTAGGAAATGGGAACCTAACCTGAAAAGCCTTAGCTTTAACTTGTCTAAACTTCCTGTTTGGGTACAATTGTACAACGTTCCCCTTGAACTATTCTCTAGAGCAGGCTTAAGCTATATAGCAAGTGTAATTGGAGTTCCAATCTCTATGGACTCCATTATTGCTGTAAAATCTAGGCTCGAGTTTGCAAAAGTCTGCGTAGAAATAGGTGTTAAAGACACAATTCCTAAACACATTGAGGTAGCTCTGAAAGATGGGCAAACAACCTCTATCAGAGTAGAGGTTCCTTGGCTACCCCAATCTTGCAAGAGCTGTAACGTATTTGGTCACAATGAAAAAGGATGCTTGCTTAAAGTCAACACAAATCCTACTGCTTCACAAGTTTGGAAGAAGAAGGGAGAATTAATTCCCAATACTGCAGTCATTCATGTTGGTGGGATAGAAGCTTTACAAGAACACGAAAAACCAGAGAATCATGCAACTCCTTCTACTGAAACTAACAACCAGAAAATCACTGACTCATTTACTGCAGCTAGAGAAAAAAATGTTGTTGGATGCGATGTTAATTCCCCGATCAGAACGGAGAAGCTAAATTCTTCTAAAGATGCTGCTAAGAAGCATCAAGTTGATGAAACAAATGTTGACTTACAAGAACATGAAAATCCAGATATTCAAGCTACCTCTATTACTGGAGATAGCAACAAAATTAATCCTCCAGTAAGAATAGAGAAGTTGAATTCTTCTAATGATGTTGCTAGTAAGCAGAAAGTTGACGGTACAGATGCAGATTCGCACCAAGTTGATGTTGCTGCAAGTGACCTAATTATGCTAGAGGCTACTGAAATTGAAAAACCTCAACATACTGCACTTAAAAAGTTTCGAGGCAGACCTGAAAATGATAAATCTCAATTATCAGGTTCAACCAACAGATTTGATATACTCAATTCTGCTGAAGAGACTTCTAATTGTTCAGAAACCTTGCAAAGAAAACCGAGAGCTGCATCATTGGGTGTTGCAAACTTGGTGAAAGAACTTAAATCAAAAAAGAAGGAACATCTTGATAGGGCTAAAGGTCTTAAAGCTGGAGGTCAAGGGGGTTCTTTGGGATCACCTTCCCAATGAAAGTTAGCTTCTGGAATATTAGAGGACTTAACAGTTCTCTAAAGCAGAATAAAGTGGTACATCGAGCCACTCAGAATAATGTCGACGTTCATTGCCTTTTGGAGACTAGAGTTAAGGTGGATAAAGAAGAAGCTATTTTCAATTATAAATTCCAGAACTGGAATTATTGTTCCAACTATGATTTTGCTTACAACGGTAGAATTTGGGTTCTTTGGAGGAAGGGTATTAATCTCTCTATCATTCACATTACCGATCAATGCATTATTGTTAGAGGAACTCACCTTGGGTTTCCTTTGTTTATCTCGGCAATTTATGGTAGTAATGATGGGATTGCTCGAAGGCAGCTTTGGAATAGCTTAAGAGAAGTTGATTATACTGTTAACAACTCACCTTGGGTCCTAGGAGGGGACTTTAATATTATCATGCATTCCCATGAAAGTTCCGACCACGAAGTCATTGGCCACTATCTCACTTCTGAAATGAAAGATTTCCAGGATCTCACTTATGAGCTTCAACTCCAAGACCATCCTTATTTTGGTCATACTTTCACTTGGAGTAACAAGCAAAAAGAATTTTTCCTTGCAAGGAAACTAGACAGGGTCATGATAAATTCTAACTGGGCTTCGATCTTTCAGAATTCTTTTGTTGAGTTTATTGCTCCAGGAGTCTCGGATCATTGCATGTCACTTACTTGGCTTTCCAAAGAAGCTCCAGCTAACAGGCCAAAGCCATTTAAATTCTTCAATTTTTGGACTGCTCATCCATGTTTCTTGAATGAAGTAAGTCAATCCTGGCTCCAACCGGCTCATGGCAATCCTATGCAAATTCTCCTTGCTAAACTTAAAAGACTCAAAGCTTGCCTTTCGAGATTTAACAAGGAGAATTACAGCAACCTCTCGGACCGAGTAAAAAAGAAAAGAAGCGAGTTGGAACAACAACAAATCCTCATTTTAAAGGGTGAAGAGGTAATCGACAAGAAGCTTTTATTACAAGACGAGTTGAAAAATTTGGAAGATGCCGAAGCTTCGTTTCTCAAGCAAAAGTGCAATGGATTAAAGAAGGAGATAAAAACTCCAAATTCTTCTATTCATCGATTGCTTTTAAAAACAAGAGAGATACTATCCGTGTTCTTATAGACGAACAAGGCAATCGATTGGAGTCCTTTGAAGCAATGTCGAAAGAAATTATCTTTCTTTTCTAATCTGATCGGAACAACTGATAACATGGTAAAAGGAATTGATCCTAACCTTCTTAAAGAATTACTCAATTACTCGCTGCCTTCTGAAGCTTCAGCAAGCCTTGTTAAAGAAATTACTAGAGAAGAAATTCAAAAAGCTGTTTTTTGTCAAGACAATGATAAAGTTCCGGGTCCCCGACGGATTCACTCCCTATTTCTTCAAGAAATCA